TCAATACGCATTTTTAAGTCAAATACAATTTATGCAATAGGTCAAAATTTTAACCACAACCAGCGATAAAATTTTAAAAGTAGCACTAGAGATGGAAGAAACTAAGCTTTTGAAGCTTTGAATCAATTGCATGGGAAATTATTCACTGTTTCGAAGCTCGAATCGCTGACACCTGCTGGTCAAACTGTGTAAATGCAACAAAAACTCATGCATAAAAACACCCACTGCAAATGTTTTATTGAAAGTCATTAAATTATTAAGTTAATCATTAATTTATAATTAATAATTAAATTATTAAGTTAAACCAGTTGAGTTCAGACAAACACTTCCTGTTTACTGTACAGCTTGCAGTAAACGCTTAACGCGGCTTAATGAAGATTATACAAAAGATATGTATTAAAAATATGTACTGTGAACATGTAAGCAGATGAGCCCAAAATATGAGCTGAATTGCACGATAAGCGTTTTCTCCCCCATAGAAAAGCACGCTTTTAACGTGGCTTAATATAAAAAAACTCTGATAAAAGCCCAAATGTTATATGTTAATAAAAATATACACTATTTACTAGTTTTTTATAATGTTTTGTCTATGGGAGTGAAAACACGGCTCTTCTTGGCTTATCTGCTTTTCTGTGCGTAATATAAAATGTAAACAGATTTGGTATTACTATTTTTAAATCACCATCTTCGTTCATTAGCCTACCTTACGCGTTTTTTTAATAGTAATATTATTAATGAGGTTATTAATATTAGCCTAATAATTTTATCAGTATTTACTACACATTAAGTGTTTCAGAATATCCCAACCGTGCCTTGAATGGAAAACAGCGGACTTGGCAACCCTAATTTGAGGGAAAACAGCGGACTTGGCAACCCTACCTTGAGGGAAAACAGCAGACTTGACAACCCTAATCTGAGGGGAAACAGCGGACTTGGCAACCCTAGTTTGAGGGAAAACAGCGGACTTGGCAACCCTACCTTGAGGGAAAACAGCAGACTTGGCAACCCTACCTTGAGGGAAAACAGCGGACTTGGCAACCCTACCTTGAGGGAAAACAGCGGACTTGGCAACCCTAATCTGAGGGAAAACAGCGGATTTGGCAACCCTAATTTGAGGGAAAACAACAGACTTGACAACCCTAATCTGAGGGAAAACAGCGGACTTGGCAACCCTACCTTGAGGGAAAACAGCGGACTTGGCAACCCTACCTTGAGGGAAAACAGCGGACTTGGCAACCCTACCTTGAGGGAAAGGACTTGGCAACCCTACTTTGAGGGAAAACCGCGGACTTGGCAACCCTAATCTGAGGGAAAACAACAGACTTGACAACCCTAATCTGAGGGAAAACAGCGGACTTGGCAACCCTACTTTGAGGGAAAACAGCGGACTTGGCAACCCTACTTTGAGGGAAAACAGCGGACTTGGCAACCCTACTTTGAGGGAAAACAGCGGACTTGGCAACCCTACTTTGAGGGAAAACAGCGGACTTGGCAACCCTACTTTGAGGGAAAACAGCGGACTTGGCAACCCTACTTTGAGGGAAAACAGCGGACTTGGCAACCCTACTTTGAGGGAAAACAGCGGACTTGGCAACCCTACTTTGAGGGAAAACAGCGGACTTGGCAACCCTACTTTGAGGGAAAACAGCGGACTTGGCAACCCTACCTTGAGGGAAAACAACAGACTTGACAACCCTAATCTGAGGGAAAACCGCGGACTTGGCAACCCTACCTTGAGGGAAAACCGCGGACTTGGCAACCCTAATTTGAGGGAAAACAGCGGACATGGCAACCCTGCGGTGCCGTTGCGGTGATGAGACTGAATGAACGCGATTACACCTCTGATACTGCGAAGATTAACAAGTGTATTACAGTGAAATATAAACTATGAGTAAGCCTCCAAGTTCTTACTGTCCGCCAGGAGCTGCGCCTTCATGTGATCCCGGAGCGCGCGAGAAGCGTCTCTGAGCTCGTGCCTCCTCGCCTCTCTCTCCTCTTTACACACTCTGAGTGAATAAATCAATAATCAATGAATGAAGAGAGACATCTCTAATAAACCACACAGACACGAGGAACTCTGTGAAACACAATCAGACGCACTCACAGTCTTCTGAGAGCTTCCGCTTCCCGCTGAAAACCCGCCACAGACATTTGGTCATAAGCGCGATGCAAAACAGAAACTATAACTATAAGCGAACGGCTGTAATAATCGTTAATCAGACGCAGCGAGAACCCGAGCGAAACACGTCAAATATCAGCCACCGATCTGTGCGCGGCTTTGTTTGAACTGTTGCTATGGTAACGACGCACTAACGACGTCCGCCGAAGTGAGAGACCCGCGGCACCAGAACCGGAAGTGAGGGGCGGAGTTATTGACAACGAGAGAGCACGGTGAGTAGTCTGTAATGTTTTTGCTATCATATATTTAATAATTATCGTATATATTACGTTAAGCATTTATCTGTTAAGTACTTAATGTGTGCTTGGCTTTATTATCTTATATTGAAGCTTGAATTTATTGTCATACTTTATAGTATATAACTTTTTTGTGTGGATGTTTCGATTAATTTTCGGATGCATGCTATGTGTCCTTATAGACACTTGCGGCACTTTGGACCGTGCACACGATTTTCATGTCGATAGGACAAATGGTTGCGTATACGGCCGTTTTTATGTTTTTTCCCCTCCTATAACACCACTAAGTGGCCACGCTTCGTGACTTTTATTTATTTAATTTTTTTTACGTGACCTCAGATTCAGCTCTTACATGCGTGTTGTGAGTTTGGCGAAGATATCTCATTCCGTTCTAAAGTTATAGCTGTTTTAGTAAAGGCGGCCCTGCCCCTTTCAAACGTTTTGGCGCCCCTTTCAAACGTTTTGGCTCCCCTTTGCGACAGAGAGTCAAAAGTTGAACTTTTTTTGATAATTATTGATATTCACTCTCCGGAGAATCTTCCTGCACTGGTTTGGTTCCGATCGGATTAAAAACAAAACCTAGGACTATTTTGCAAAAAATTAGTTTTTTCAAAAAATCCAAAATACCCGAAAGTTTCGTCTGACGATTGAATCGGAGGCGTGTGTTTTGTCCGGCGTGAGCCAAGGATTCCAACGACTTAAAACTCTCGAGTCTGCGACCGACGGTTTATGGGCGATTTCGTACTTTTGATCGCTGTAGCGCCCCCGTCAGGCCGATTGGGGCGAGCCTTGGTCACGTTGTAGGCGGTGTGAGTACTACCATCCCTCCCAGTTTCAGCTCTCTACGACTTACGGTTTGCTCTGCACGATCAGTGTTACGTGGAGGTCGCTGACCCTTGGCCATTCTAACAGCTCCAATAGGAACAGGACAACGAACTCTCACCGATCGATCAGTGGTGCAGCGGAGACAGATGGAGAAGATGATCCGCTTTACTCGGTGCTGATGTAACAGTATCGTGGCGCTGAGCTCCATCATATCTGTGATAGTAGATCCCCATTGATGAGAGACACAATTATCTGGGAGCATTAATAGATTGAGCCTCCAGGGCGACACAGAGAGAATTTGCTGGACTGTTTATTTATTTCTCCCTCTTTATCCTCCTGTCATAGAGAGTCACTGTAGAGTTTGAAATGCCAAACAAACCCGGTTTAGTGCATAGTGTCTTGAAGGTCAATGCAATGCTACTTTCTTTGGGCTATTAATCAGCTAACCGTAATTTCTGCCGTACCGCTGACCCCGGCTGACCCCGACCACAGGTTTTTGGAAGATTCACATACAGTACATAAAGCATAGCAGAGGTTCTGAACAGCTGTAATTCTGTCGCTTCGAAACATCTCTATGCAATAGGACAACACATAATCTGCCCGTCAGTGAAGTCTGGAGCAAATATTCAAATCAAAGCCTTCATTTTTATCACTAAGTATTTGGTCATCTGTACCTGTGTTGGAGGCAGCAAGTCAAGCTTATTGTACGAAAACGCACTTTGCACTAATGACGTTAATATTTACTGTATTTGTTTTCACTATTTTCCTCTTGGACATCTGGATTCATTAGGTTTGACTGAATAAAGTTTTAGTTTAGTCAACAATGCATCTGGTCTAGTCCTGCGTGTTTTAGGCACATTTGTTAAAAAGTTAAATCACCTGTAAATGCATAAAAGCATTTACACAGCTATTGCACCTTTAATCAGTACTGTGATCCTGGGGTGCGAGGAGGCTAAGAGCAGGCGTAGTTTAGTCTGGCTTTTATGCTGCACTGTCTTTACACTGAATTTTAAACAGCTGTAACTTAGTGTAAAGACGCCTTTGGACATGCAAACAACACCCATTAGGTTCACTGCAGGTTCCCAGTAGCACATCTAACACAAGGCATCCAGAAGATCTGCACACTGCTCCGAGTTCAATTTTTTGACCGGAGCCAGCGTTGCACACAAACTCTCATAGAGTTTTACACAGAAACCAATCCATGTGCAACATCTGCCAAAGAAATCAAAGAGCAATGACTCTACAAGTGAGTCATTCAAAAAAGTACTTTTGTGAACATTTCTTCAGTTGATAAATGTTTTATGGTTGTTTTAGAGACTGATCTCTTTCAGAGCAGCATGTCTAGATGTCTGTCCGCATCAATGATGATCTGCTGCAGCACTCACAGAAGCCGAGTGTCTCGTTCATCACACTTCCATAAACACTCCTCAGGAATACCTCACGCCGGGTCGAGTCTGAAGAACGCTTCGTCTCCGTACCTCTCCGAGTCATCAGAAAACACAAATCGTATAGAACCAGGAAAACAAGAGAATAAAACACATATACAGCATCCGCAAACAGAGTCAATACACCAACTATCAAAGCATCGCAGTCACTGAATATTTGCAGGGTTTTCTCCAGAGAGCACCTGAATGTGTTTCAGCTCTTTAGATGTGATTCTACTGGTGTTTCCACACAAAAACACTGTCTGTGATGACATCTAATGACTCACTGTAAAACAGCACAAAGAGAAGAGAGATCCCCTTCACACCTGAAAAAAAACACAAACACTCAAGTGCAACAGAGGTTTATTGTCAATTATGTTCTAAGGACATCAACAAGCTTTATGCTATCGTAATATGAATATCAAATTTCACTGCAATAAAGTGCAAGTCCTTTGACTGTACATTTGTTTTATTTACTAGTGTATTGTGCCTGTAAGAGAATCGAAAGCCCTTGAGTTCAAACCGCACAAAAGTATCTGAAGCTGAACTTAAACTACACAGAGCTGAAGATTCCATCATCATCATCATCATCATCACAAACTCAGACTTCAAGCAGAGCTGGTAATGTGGCCGCTGGTTTAAACCGCGAAACGCCAGCACGTGCGGTGCGATAACAATTGGGAGGTTGGTTTGGGTTCAAAGATTAAACATTCAACAGAGACGCGTTTCCTCGAGCAGGCCGTTCCTCCATCGGATCAGGAGACAGAGAGGAAAAGATGACCAAAAACAGGCAGTCGCATGAACACGTGGCACAATCCAGTAACACAGAACAGTCCCATATTACAGCCTGTGCATAGGAAGAATAAAAGCACTTATGGTATCGGCAAACATCAAGCACGTCGTAACGCTCGCAAGGGCTGGGAAAATAAACCCATGCATCGCGAATCGAGAAATGATTCCGCATCGATTCTGAGATTTTCCGAATGCGTCGCAATTCTTTCTCCAGTCGATTCTGAGCTTAGTTTTGAACACAGCATGCTTCAGAATCAGCCGAACTCTGCTCGTCTCCAAATCCTTACACATACTCGAACCTAAAATAATCATTCATAAGATTCGAAAAAGTTGACGCAAATTACAAGGGTGTTCACAATGGGCTGTGTTTACATTAATCTGGCGTAGGGTTGCAAAAAGGTGGAACATTTCCAGTAAATTTTGGAAACTTTCCAGGATTTTTTGGAATATTCCAGGGATTTTTGGAAATTTTCCACCTCTTTGCAACCCTAACTGGCGTCATAAAAGCATTGTGAGCCGAGGTGAAGTTACAGACTCAGCCGAACGCACAAGCGCTCTTCTTCATGAGCATTTGAGTGAGCAGATAAAAACTAGAGTAGAGCGCCATCTGCTGTTAAAATATAAGCTCAGAATCCATTCCAGAGAGAATCGTGATGCATTCAGAAGATCTCAGAATCCATATGGATTTATCGCCCTAATGCTGGCTCACGCTGGCAGAACCGAACCCACCGCTCCGACCGTCTCTGCATAGAGAAAGCAAAGGCGATGAAGAAACGCAGCAGGGCTCCGAGCGAAGCACTATCTGTGCAGCAGCACGAAGGCCTCCAGCCGCTCGGGGATGTTCCCGCGGTACGCCAGGCCGTGTTTGATGATGGCGCGCGCCGCCAGACACTGCAGCGTGGTGTGGTTGATGGGCTGGATCAGGTTCTTGGCCAGCTCCTTCTGGTCCAGCAGGTCGCAGGCCGTCTGCTTGAGGGAGTTGGTGCTGTCGAAGTGCGTGCCGCAGGAGATCAGCAGGTTCATGATGTCGGGGTGGTTGTTGGACGCAGCCACATGCAGAGGGCTGTTGTCGTCCTCGTCGCGGCAGTTCACGTCTGCGCCGCACTACAGCAGGATAGAAGCCACCTGGAAGGAGGGGAACTTGCAGACGGGGTAGCGGCCCACGCAGGTGGTGTTCCTGTCCACCGCCAGGTGCAGCGGACTGAAGCCGTTCTTCCCGCAGGCCTGCAGCTTCAGGAACTTGTAGATGGTCTCTTTCTTGAAGTGGTCCTGCTCCACGGTGCACGGCACTTTCTCCAGCAGACAGATGAGGTGCAGGATGATGGACAGCACCTGCGAATCATAACGGTTTGGAACAGTGTGAGTCGAGTGCTTTTTACAATGCAGATAGTGTCAGAGCAGCTTTACGGTATTAAATGGGGAAATAGTGTGTTGGAATAGTGTGACGTTTAGGACTGGACAATATGGGCTTAAAAATATATCATGATAACTTCTGGAATTTATTGCGATAATGATATCAATTACGATAATTCAGGGAATCCTGTTTCTTTAGAGAAAAGTATTCTCTTTCCTATTTTTACCTAAAATAAGGTGTTATAAGCATTACGGAGCACACACACGTAACGTAATGACTGTTTAATTCATACTGGAAGCCAGAGGGCACCCTTGCGCAGAAACTCCACATACTCAGCGCTGAAGTAATACTACTGACTACGCTCCAGGAAATCCCTAATATGGACAAAGGCATCCAGTTATCTGCTGAATAAAATGCAGATAGAGAAATTTTAACTGATGAAACTTGAAGACAATAAACATATATGTGACTCTGAAGCTCAAAAGCAGTCATAAGCAGCACAGGTATATTTGTAGCAATATCCAACAATACATTGTATGGGTCAAAATTATCCATTTTCTTTTATTAAGATATTAAGTAAAGATCATGTTCCATGAAGATATTTTGTAAATATTCTACCGTAAATATATCAAAACTTAATTTTTGATTAGTAATATGCATTGCTAATAACTTCATTTGTACAACTTTAAAGGCGATTTTCTCAATATTCTGGTCACTCAATAAAGCCGCGGTCACACTAGACTTTGAGCGGGTAAAATTGATTCGTATGCTGCAACGGTCGTCATGTCATGCTCTGCAGCGCCTTTTTAAAAACTTAAATTCAACACATAAATTATAATACATTTACTACATCTACTTCACTTTCCTGTAGCACTGCAGCTTTAAATTTAGGTTCTTTTAATTCAGTTACGAGGTCATGCTGTGACTTATCAATCTGCTGTCGGTCACATGGATTCACGTGACACGAATTCACAGGTCAGAGTTCACCAAGCTTGAACTTTGGAATGCAGCGTAATGCGAAACTTTTCGCATGAGCTTGCATTTTCAGTCTGACGCATTCGCATGCGTATGAATGGAAGTCAATGGAACGAA